GTGACTATCTGTCACCCTAAATTACCTAAAAGGTCCTCTTTTCCCTGGACATGTCCTGGCCAGGATTTCTAAATTGCCTAAAATGTCTGGGTTATGGCTTTGTTTTCCTATTGCTTTAATACTTACAGAAGGCAATGACTGATGAGTTGTTTGACCAATAGCATGAAAGAATTCGCATTCTAACTGATGAATTGTAGTGAGCGAGAAGGTGGGATCTACAGAGAATAGTCACTTGACAGACAAATGATCATGTCCCCAATCATGTTCTCTCAACTACACTATGAAATAAAGGTTACATATATGAATATTTCTTAATTAGAAATTTTGAGTAGCCTATTGGTGTATACACTTAATCTCTTTGACATAAAATGCTATTTATTGTCATATTTGTGTGTGTGTGTGTGGACTGACTGGTTTGTTGGAAAAAAATTTTTAAAAATCCAATTATTTTTTGTCTTATCAGAGGGAGAAAATGTCTGTCTATCAGAAAATCAACTGGTTTTAAGACAATGAAGCCCATTACTAGCTATGTAATGAACAATATGCTAGCAGAAAATTTAAATCTAGGAAGAATTTTAATAGATATGTGAAATTTATTTTTAAATTTTTAAAATTTCATGTCCAGTATACATTGACACAGGGTAGACGTTATGTTTTATGCTATTAAATGAAGAAAAGAAAGAAAGAAAGAAAACTTTGTGATTTAGAGTTGCTTTCCCCTCCAAGGAAATGATGTCACTTCTAGTAAGTCATGTTATTTAGGGCATATGCTTAAGATTTTAAAGGGCATGTAGCACCACAGTAACATGATGGCAACATGTGATAATGGAATACAATGCATATGAAAATAAAAGAAAGGCGTTATAAGGAGTATGTAAAAAAAATAGTCTTTCACTTTGAAAAACATGCTTGGAGCAGCATTGAGGAAAATATGTGCACAGTTAATGAAATATTTAAGTCAAGTCAAGTCACCTTTATTTATTAGCGCTTTTAACAATGCAAATTGTGTCAAAGCAACTGTACAGCATTAATTAGGAAAAAAGTGTGTCAATAATGCAAAACGACAATAGTAAACACTCATTTTTCAGTTAAAGACAGTTCATCATTGAATTCAGTGATGTCATCATCCAGCTCAGTTCAGTTTAAATAGTATCTGTGCAATCATTTGCAATCAAGTCAACGATATCGATCGAACCAAGCTCAGTTGGGGCCCCAGTTCTCTGGCCAGATGAAACCAGCAGTTCAATACCAGGCTGCATTTAGAAGAAACAGGACTGATAGAGTGAATATAAAAGGTTGAGTAAAGGGATGTGATGTGACGTGACATGTGGCCAAGTATGGTGACCCATACTCGGAATTAGTGCT